GTGAACTCTTCCTACCAAAGACAAAATAGTAATCTTTTCAGCCACTCCAGCTACAAGTTCAAATCAGCCCCCCACAAGATTGCCCCCCACAACGTCCCACAACACATTCCCACCGTGTATTGGGAACATCTCCCAATGATGACATCATCATTTCTGGTATATCATGGGGAGATGTACTGTAGGATGTTGTAGGGGCAATTTTGTGGGGGGCTGATTTGATCTCTCCATCTGCTATCTAATGGTTACTTGGTGGATGTATCATTTTCGAAACTTGTGCATTGGTAAATTACATTTTGCAGGTTTACAAATCTAAGAACTAATTTTACCCTTCAAAAAGGACCCTACAGTACATCTCACCAGTCACCATAGACTGAGTGAGACCGGATCTGCTCCTCACACCTGGCGCTTCACAGGCACCTCATACGTACATCCTACCATGCATTGGGAATATCTTCCGTACTTATTAGTTATTATTCATGGGAGATGTTACTAATGCACGGTAGATGTGCCTATGAGGTGCCCATTTGTGAGGAACAGATCCCGCTTCAGACTGAGTTCAGATTGGCACCCCACAGTACATTTTTCGTACTCGTCATGGGAGATGTTCCCAATTTATGATTTCCATGTGTTGTGGGACACGTTCTATGGGGCTCCAACGTAAATTTAAGACCCGAACCCTTAATGCATGAGACGTATGATATAGATTGAAAGCTTTCTTTTTTGGAATTGATGCCAATTCATGGGTGGGCATTGATGCATAAAATAGGAATATTTGATATTTTAAATGTTTATAAATCTGCAGTGGAATTCAAAAATCTGCTTTGGACCTGAACCTACTTTTCCGTTTTTTTTTTTTTATGTTTGGAGGAGATCCAGATCATGGTTTTCAAAACTGGACCAGACGGTTGGACCAGAAAAACTAGGAACCGGTTCCGTTTTCCCACAAAACCACTTTTTTCCCCAAAATCGTTGATTTTGGTCAACAAACCACTGAACCGGCCGATTAACCGTTCGAACTGTTCAAATGGTTTTATTTTTTTAATTTTTTTTGTTAGAACGGGCCAGCCATTCGAACCAATAACCGGACCCCTGACGGATTCGGTCACCCGTTCGCTTTTAAAAACCATGATCTAGATTCCGTTGATGTTTTACTGGTGTAATTTATAATGCATAAAAATAAAACCTCCACCTCAGAGAAGAAAAAAGTTGGTTTTATTAAAAAATAATAATAATTCTTTCGTATATTTTTGGTGAGCTTTTGACTTCTAAGTGATTTCAATTTTGTAAATCACCAATTCTGATATCAAATGTGGACCACAATGTTCATGAAATATTACCTTAGAAAATAGTTCAGATCGGAAAATTGTGTATTGTGACTCTGACAGGTGATAAACATTGATGCATGCATGTCCATGGTGAGGCCTGTAGTTGTTGGGAACTGGCATATCCTTAGGATGGGACCAATAAGGTGGAGATTATTCATACCCTAACAAGGGTGTATTTGATAATTTTGTAGTCTCCAATTTATTTAAGATTTTTTAACCCTAAGTTTTATTCTAAGTGGAGGGGTAGCCATAAAAGAAGCATAACAATACAGGATACAGGATTTAGCCTAATGGATAGTGGGGAGGTCCAATGCAATGTAGGAAAAATCATTTTTGCTGTCAAAACTACTTTGTCTTGGAAGAATCGAAATTCATTTCTCTTCCTGATATTATTATTGACAGTGATCAGACAATAATTCCTAACATTGTTCAAGAAACAATTCCAGTTCAAGACAACAATGAATTTCTTCCCATAGAGCAAACTCAACAACCTCAAGAAGTTCCATTGAGGAGATCCAACAGACAAAGGAGAAGGGTGATTCCAGATGACTATATCGTGTTCCTCCTAGAACAAGAAGATTCTGTAGGCTTAGCGGAAGATGATCCAATCAACCTTGGCAAAGCCCTTCAAAGTTCTAATTCTCAACGATTGATCAATGCCATGTAAGAAGAGATGAAATCCATGAAAGGCAATGACGTTTGGGATCTTGTCGAGTTGCCTGAAGGTTCAAAACCCATTGGTTGCAAATGGATATTTAAAACCAAAAGGGATTCAAAAGGCAATGTCAAAAGATATAAGGCTTGTCTAGTCGCCAAAGGATTCACTCAAAAGGAAGGCATTGATTACATTTTCTCCGGTTTCTTCAAATGACTCCTTTAGGACAATAATGACACTTGTAGCTCATTTTGATTTAGAGCTACATCAGATGGATGTAAAGACAGCGTTTCTCAATGGAGACATTGATGAAACGATTTATATGGTTCAGCCAGAACATTTTGAATCCAAAGATTCAAAGTCTATGGTTTGTAAATTAAAGAAATCCATCTATGGTCTCAAACAGGCTTCTCGTCAGTAGTATCATAAATTTCATCAAGTGATTACCTCATATGGTTTTGAGGTAAATGTGGTTGATGATTGTGTATACCACAAGTTTAGTGGGAGCAAGTTTATCTTCCTAGTGCTATATGTCGATGACATACTACTGGTGAGTAACAATATAGGCTTGCTGCAAGAAACCAAGAAATTTCTCACTAAGAACTTTGAGATGAAAGATCTTGGGGACGCCTCTTTTGTGCTAGGCATACAAATAGTACGAGATCACCCTCGAGGTGTTCTTGGATTGTCACAAAAGGGGTAATATCGAAAAGGTGCTAAGCAGATTCGACATGAAAAGTTATTCGCCGGGTGATACGCCTATGGCTAAAGGAGACAAATTCAATCTCAATCAGTGCCCCAAAACAAACCTTGAACTAAAGGAAATGCAAAAGGTTCCCTATGCCTCGGCTATAGGGAGTCTGATGTATGCTTAAGTTTGTACCTGCCCCGATATAGCATTTATAGTGGGATTGCTGGGCAGATATTTGAGTAACCCAGGACTGGATCATTGGAAAGCAGCCAAACGGGTCATGTGGTATTTACAGAGAACAAAGGACTACATGTTAATCTATAGGAAATCATACAGTTTGGAGATCATTGGGTATTCTGATTTTGATTTTGCGGGATGCCAAGACAGCAAACGATCCACTTCAGGCTATGTCTTCATGTTAGCTGGAGGAGCTATATCTTGGAAAAGTGCCAAACAGACGCTCATAGCTTCATCAACTATGGTTGCAGAGTTCATAGCATGTTTTGAGGCATCCAATCATGGGATATGGCTACGTAACTTTGTCATTGGGCTGCGTATAGTTAATGGCATTGAAAGACCATTAAAATTATTATGTGACAATAAATCTGCAATTCTGTATTCCAACAACAACAGAAGCTCTATAAAGTCAACACATTGACATCAAGTTTCTATCTGTTAAGGAGAGAGTTCAGAGTGGCCAGATTTGTATAGAACATATAGGGACAAACTCCATGATAGCGGATCCGTTGACCAAGGGATTGCCACCTAAGGTCTTTCATGAGCACATTGCTCATATGGGTATAGGCATGTTTTGTGATACCTTGTTTTAGTGGGAGTTTTTTTGTTGTTTTACTTTTGGATATTCTATGGAATAAGGCATGTTTCGCATGTCTACATTTATGCATAATAAAGTTTTATGATTCTTTTCATCATCTACAACTCTGAATATGTTTGTGAATTTTCGAATGATCTCTATAAAGAATAAAGTAGAACCAATTGGAAATATGCATGTTTTGATATCACATTGCATGTAATTTCCATGCCACTCATCCATACTTGATCTATGTCGTCGAATGTATTGATATGGTGAGCATGAAAGGTTTAGTCACGCTTGTAGGTGACAAAAGCCGTTATGATCTCATATTGGTATAGGAGATGGACCAGATTGAAACTAAGGCAAAGTCTAAAGGAAAATAGCATGAAAGGTGTACACATAAGGAATTTGTTCAATATGATTGTTTCAAATTTAGTATGTAGCCCAAGTGGGAGATTGTTAGGTTTTACTCTCTATTATGTGGGCTTACATATATTAAATGAAACAATTGCATTGATGGGCTATTTTTATAAGTGAGCTTAATTAAGTGATTCATTCATGTGAAGTCCATAAACTTTGATAAGTGGGTATGGGGGTTATGGGTGGATACCACATTTTGACCCATATAGGCTTAATGGGATCCTATTAGGTCAAAATATAAAGACTCCTAGGTTATGGTTCCCAATATGTTAAATTCATCCAGCCGCCCTCCTTGCTCTACCCCATTAGAGACAAAGAATTGAGAAAACTTAAAGAAGAATGAAGGATTTAACTGAGGAAAACCACACCTGTCGGTCAAAGTTTTCGTTCATCATTCATTCCGCAAAGGTTCGATTGCAACAATGGAAACAAGTATTTATATCAGAATTTCTTAATAACTACAGCATGATGTGTCTTGGGTGCAAGAAGGTTTCTTGTTCTTCGTATATTCTTGCATTGATTTATTCAACACACAAGACTATGCTAACACTATTATTACAGTCCCTTTGCAGTTTTGCATCATAAATATCTTCTCTTAAAAAACATACAAATATGGAGATATTTCCAATATATTGCTGTAAAAAAGTTATATAAACAATATGAACACGATCTTCTAAGCACTGAAGTCGTTCTCCCTTGCAAGCAATATTGTCAAATGTTGTGGGATTGGACAAAAACAGTTTTATTGCCAGAATCGAGAATTGACGGTCAAAATGGGTATTTTCATTGTTTGGTATTTTAATTCTTAAAAATGTTGGCCCTGATCAAACTTCCTCTATTTCTATTTACAAGTATATTAATAAGTGGAATTGCCTAACATGGAATTCACACTGGCTCCTACTGAGCGCGCAGAAACGTGCCCCGCAGCACATCCCAAGCTTTTATTTTGTTGTAAAATAATTTTAAAGGATTTTTAAATGAATTGAATAATTGAACCAGACGGTTGAACCATTCAATCCATGATCCATTCATCAAAATGACTCTCTATTTGGCCTAAAGTCTGACAACGTTGCCTATGAGAATCCTTGATTGGTCTTAAAGCAAAATTCCATCAAAAGCTTTTCTATTTTCTCCAGCAATTATAGATGTTTAAAAGAAGTAGATGCCAAACAAGCAGGTGCTATGCAAAAGAAATCTCTAACAAACTCGTCTCGTTCTAGATTTCTAGCTACCCAAAGCATGGCTTCTTCGAGAAAGTACCGATGTTAAGCTTCAATCAAATAACTGATTTACTCTTCAGCCTCTGCGAATGCAAAAGAAGAAAACACTGGTATCAGTGAGAATTTTCGAGAAATAAATGGGGTGAATAATAATTACATAACTGCAAAGTGCAAACAGGCACTTAAAATTAAACGATGGCAATTCAGTTGAAAACCGGATTGGACCGGACGGTTTGACCAATTGACTCAGGAACCAATCATAAATTTGGATCTGGTTTTAGATCATAAAACCAATCAACCGGGCTTTAAACCAAATGGTTGAACCATTTGACCTGGGAACTAGTGGTCAAAGCGGTCCGGTCCAAATTTAAAGTAGCCGCCCCCTTCACATGAAATAAACTTAGAGGTTCTAAAAAACATTTTATCAGATATTGGGTATATAGTTGATTCCACTCAATAGTGTCACATGGCTACTATCCAAACCTGTAACAACCCAGATTTTAATTTTTGAGATAGGATCAAATTTCAAGTAAATGAATATGATTGAGCTGACATTGAATGTTACATGACAAGAATTTCAAGGTTGAAGCAGTTTAAAATTTTATATTGCCATGGAGTTAAATTCAAAAGAAAAAAGAAAAAAAAAACTTCGATGATCCAAAGTGATATGTATTAACCTTAAGAGTTATCCATTTAAAAATTAGATTTATGATATAAAATATTTTAAACTAAGAAAAATAAAAAAATTTCTATTTTTATATTAAAAAATATAAAATATTAATATTGTTAGGTCATTTGATTTTGATCGGTTTACAAATGGCCAAAGTGAAATTGATCCAACTTGGTCAAATTGAAAAATTTTTTAATCAAAGCCGACCTAAAATACTTGAAAACTGACCGACTTGGGTCGAGTTGATCAGGTTGGCTGATTTCATCAGTTTGATGAATAAACCTAACTGAAATTAATTATTGTTATTTTTGTATTATAAAAAAATTAGTAAAAGTAGTATATAAAATATGAATAATTATTAATTATTTAAAAAGTTGAAAATATAAAACAATTTTATACTCTTATGTATTTCTATTAGGGTCATTTACTAGAAGACACCTTATAATTTTACATATTTACTTAAACCTACCTTACAGTTTTCATTTTACTAAAATATCTCATATATTTTACAACTTATTTACTTAATCAACCTTTCATTAAGGAGTGTTTGTTTTTCCATTATGCCCATAATTTTTTAGTCCAAAAATACCCTTAACACTTTTTTTGTACAAAAAACAAAATTGACCAAATATAGCCAATAGAGTGTTGCCCGTGTCTTATTAAGGGCAAAAATGGTATTTTTATTTTTATTTTTTTATTAAATTTATTTAAATAAACATTAGGGTCAACATTGTCATTTTCCACTGTCATTTAATGGAAGATTGATTAAATCCATTGCAAATTATAAGTGGTGTTTTAGTAAAATGCTAGCTATAGGGTAGATTTTAGTAAATCCATGAAAATATAAGAGGTATTTTAGTAAATGACCATTTTTATTATCTAGCTTTCACTTAATAAATCCCGTGCATTGACGGGTCCCGTTAGTATTTCTTTAAAAAGGGAAAATGTGACTTTGAAAAATTTTAAACTTTCTGTGATCAAAATACCCTTATTTTTAATTTGCTCCTATTTTATCATGAGGGCAATATTGACTGTATTTAACATGCATTACAAGTAATAACTAATATGAAACGTGTTTTCTTAAAATATATCTGGTGGTTGCATCTTTCATTTTGGCTCAAAATGACTGAGTTTTTAGTTCTTTAAAACATGCCTATGTGACAAATCACTTATAAAATAGGTCACCTGACCCGTTGGCCTTCTAGGTTTATAGTAACTCAAGTGGTATCCATTGTAATTCAAGGTCAAATGAAGAGTATTGCTAGAACTAGCAGTCAAGTGGTTGAGAATGATTAGTTTAGTCTTTTTGCTTTTTGAGAAGCCCAAGTGCAAATACACTTGGGTTGATGCAATTAAAGATTTAAATTCATGTCACCCCTACAATGCCCGTGCAATTTTATTACTAACTTTAAATATTTAAATAGGCCTTCTTGGTAAATATTTTAAAGGGTAAATTGTTGAAACCTCTCCTGAAGTTTCTTGTTGTTATTGAAACATCCCCTAAAGTTTGGTACTTACAATCATCTCCCCTGAAATTTTAGACATAATTGCAAGTAGAGCCCCTTTGTTAGAATCCTCTAAATTGAGGCATAGAAATGTCCAAAATACTCATATAGTTATTTTGACCAAAATGTTTCTTTTTCAAGTTTTCTCCACGTATAGATCCTTACCCCAAACCCTTTCAATCTCCTCTCTAAAATTGATTTATTTTCCAAATTTTCCCTTCATATCAATTGCTCAAAGGTAAAGCTACAACTTCAAATTCTCCTTTTTTGATTTTCATAAAATTTATATTATTTTTTTCCTATAGAAACTAGCTTCAATAGTAACTACATAGATACTTTGGACATTTTTATGTCTCTTTTTAGAGGATTCTAACAGAAGGGGTCTACTTGCAAATGTGTCATAAAGTTTAAGGAAAGTGACTGCAATTACCAAACTTTAGGGGAGGTTTTAGTAATGGCCCAAAACTTAGGGGAGGTTTAGGCAATTTATCCTATTTTAAATAAGTTGAAGGGGATAAGTGGACTGCAATCCACCTCAGAAATCTGAATTGCAGCCCCCTCCTAGTCTACTAGTAGCCCCCCCCCCTCCCCAAACCACATCCGGCCTATGAATTTGGCATCAATCCACCCCTAAAAATCCTAGCTGCACCCTAGGGGTGGACTGAACTATAAAAACCCCAAGTTGAAGTGGGTGGATTAGGTAAGATGTGATTTGGGTAGGTTTGCACTCATGTACAAATGGATCATTGATGGGTGTAGATGGAAAGTGGATGGATTGGTATTTGGCCCCCATGCCTAACCCATTCAATTGCCATCCATATTTCGACATAGATGTTGCATGTGTTTGGTTCCAATGGAGTTTATTGAGTAAACATTTTGTACTTGATGTGGTTGTAAAATTGAGAAAAACAATTAATGAGGGCGTTTATGACACATAAGTGTCATTAGGCACCACATCAATAAAAGTGCTGATAAACATCTATCCATTGGAGGAATCTACAAAATGAAACTTCTTGAAACGGGAGAGGCGCACAGAAATTGATGTTTACTTTTGTAAACATTGATACATACGAATATGCATAATGATGCCTTTGTTGATGGGGCGCCTATATGGTAGTGTTTACTCAATAAAAGCCAACGAAACCAAACACATACGTTGTTATTGGAGCCTCAATAAATCCTATCAATATTATACAACTAAAAATCTCAGAGGTCCATTTAAAGTTTATGATGCACAAAAAGGAAAGAGAAATAACATGAAGAACATAGAACCAAAAAGAGTGAAAATTGGACGCACAAAAAGGAAAGAGAAATAACATGAAGAACATAGAACCAAAAAGAGTGAAAATTGAAATTACCTTTGCCCGGAACTATTATAATGGGTGTTGATTTACAGTGGTGGAGGCAATATTCACTTACACTACCCTGCAGCACACTGAAATCAAACCAATCATTTAGTCTACAATCCCCATCAAAGTGGTTTTTTTTTATCTTTTTTATCCAAAGAATTCTAGAGACATTGTTTTGAGAAGTGCTGAAGTGGGAACACCTTACCTTGAATCATGACAACCCCTACCATTTGTTTAACTCACTAGCTAAGTCGAGTGAGATACTTTTGGTGGCGGGCTGTGTGGGTATGTGGGTTTTATTGTAAATTGATTTTTTAAAAGGTAATTAATTTTTTTTAGGAAAAGTTGTCAAAACATTATTAGACAAAACATGTGTAAAAATAGTCAATTTTTTAACTTATTTAAGTAAAATTTATGCTTAAAAAAATACAGGTAAATATACTAACTTGATAGCTAAATGGTAGGTAAATGCATTTACCTAGGTAAATGACTTACTAAAAAAATCAATATACCTTTTGTAGAGACAAATATATATATATATATATATATGCACACTCGTTATAATAATTTATAATATTTATTATTTTAAACTTACTAGTAATTAAGTACATGCATTTGTATGTGGAAATTTTAAATTACAAATATGATTATTATTATTATTGTTGTTGTTGTTGTTGTTGTTGTTAAACTTTGTATTCCATTTCCAGAATAAACAAAAATAATTTTTATTTAATATGATAAATACACACCATTAGAAATGTTCCCAAATGTTTTTGATAAAATTCTATACTTTTTCATTTTTTGTGTTCTATATTTTTAAAATATTTATTATTCAATTATGACATCATATGAGTTTCTTTAGAAAGTTGGACCATTGACCCACCATCTAAATAATAAAATAGATTTACTTTCTAATCATTTTTAAATTATATATTTCTTCTATATTATATAAATAATTACTTATCACACTTGATTTTTATCTGACATAATTAATATATATTTTTATACATTAATTTGATTATTTATAATTTTTTTATTTTTTTAAAGATTTATTATTTAACTATCATATCATCAATTAATCTATTTGACCAAACCACTAACCCACCACCTAAAAAGAAAAATAGTTTGATTTCTAGGTTGACATTAATTTTTGTATTACATCTCCATCATTAATAAAATTATTTCCTATGTATAATGCTTATTTTAGTTTAATATAATGATTGCATAATATTAGAGATGTACCCAATATTTTATGTTTTATAAATATATAACATTAAATATGTGCCCAAAATTTTCTCTAATTTTTTTTATTTTAGTGATTCTTTGTATTTTCTATTTTTAAAAATTTTATTATTCGATTATGACATCATTTTATTTATACGTTGATTTTAAATTTTGTATTCCATTTTCATCATTGATAAAAATATTTCCTACATTTCGTACTTATTTTTGTTTAGTATAATGAATATACAATATTAAAGATATGACCAATTCTTTTTTTATATTATATATTTTATTTATTTTATTATTTAATTATGACATTATTTATTGATCTATTTGACCCCAAATGATTGAATACTTGAATTGCTTACCCACCATTGGGAGGGAAGAAAATGTTTTGTTTTTAAATTACTTTTCAAAATATTTATTTTTATTTTTATACTATTAAAATTAATATTGTAAATTTAATTAGTTTAATTTAATAATAAAAATCATATCTTAAATATAGGATTTAACGAGAAAATATACCTTACATATGAGATTTAATGAGGGAGAATAGGAAAATTTTACAATCCATTTCCATCATTAATAAAAACATTTATTGTTTATCATACTTATTATTGTTTAATATGTTGAATATATGATGTTAAAAATGTTTTCAATTTTTTTAATTTCAATATTTTTTTTTGCGTTTTATCTATTATCAAATTTTATTATTTAATTATGACAACATGGATTGGCCCATTTGACTGAAAGTGGTTTAATTTCTTACCACCACTTAGATGAAAATACTATATTTTTGAGGTAGATTTTAAAAGTATAAGTTTTTATTTTATTGGAATTATTAGTTTATTATGTATTAATTTAATTAATAAAATTTAATGATGAGAAGAAACAAAAATACCTTACATATATGATTAAATGAAAGTGAATGCAAGTTAATACCTTAAATGTTGGATTTAATGAGAGGGGATTGAATATATTAAATATCTTAATATTACCTCTTTTCAACTCATTTAATACCAATTACAAATTATCCTATTTACCCTCATTTTTTATCAATAAATTTAAATATAGAGGGGTAAATGTTGTCCTCATAAAATTTTAAACATATTCTTGAGGCTATTGATGCTTTTTAAAATAATATAGATTTTGATGTAAAATGACTTTAAAAAATAATTTGAAATCTTTTACTGTTTTTTTTTTAATTTCAAGTCAAACCAAATGGTTAAACCATTCAATCCATGACCAAATGATTTTACATTAATCCGAGTCTGACAGTATTGATGTTTCAACTTTCAACCAGGCAGCAAACTAGATTATGGATCCCTCAAACCATTAAACTCACCACCCGTTGTAAGATCAATTTTACGGGGTTAGTTCATAAATCATAATACATACGTAGACGTAGTAGATTATATACAGAAACAGAAATGCGAGCAATCAGGGAGATCAAATGGACTCCATGTCTCCTGCCCACATAAATCCTGTTCACGTCTACTCATAACAGGCTACCTTCTTGAATTGGGAACATCTCCCCTTAGATAATATCATGTAAAATGATGAAATGTTCTCCATGTGTGATTGTGATATTATGTAGGTAGACATGGACAGAGTTTGTGTGAACAACCAAAAATAATGATGTCATCATAGTGAGATATTTTCAATTCACGGTGGAGATATTCCCGGTATGAACTCGCAATTAGGGCGCATCCCACATAAATAAATTGGCCACGTGGCCCACATCATGCATAGTGACATAAATGTGCACACGTTTATGAAAAGTGGAATATGCACCCAAATCACTTACCAAGATGAATCAGAAATCAGAATGATGAACATGCTCATCAACTCATCACTCTACCACTGATCTACTCCATGAAATTACTGATCCAGATCAGATCATTAGATGATGGGTAATGGATGGTTCAGATTGGTTTACCATTGGAGTAAGCTTCTGCCTCTTGTGCCCATTACAACCGCGGCTGGCTTTATGTGATCTGCTACTTTACAAATTGCCCTGCCTGGATCTCCTTCGACGATTCGAGCAAACGTCCTCACCTGATTTTTCATAAACAAATTCGGAAGTGGTGAATCGATGATTCTCTGTTTTGTTATATGTAGAGTTACGATCGAAAATTAACGGAAATGAAATGAGTAGGTACCATGCAAACTTCAAAAGCCTCCGCGGCGAGATTTTCCATGAGGCCCCTGCTCGCTTCAAAAACGTTTTCATTCTTCACATCTTTGAGAAACAAAAAGGAATTTGTGAATTTGGGAGTTGGAACAGACGAAACAAAAGCGATAAGAGAGATTCTTATTTTTATTTAGAAAGGAAAGATCAGCATTCATTCACCAGTCTCAAGAGAAAATAAAGAAAAAGGAACATAATTACTTAACCAGAGACGGCATGAACGAGGTGGAGGGTGTCGGCGAGCCTGCAGAGGTTGATAAGGGCCCAGTCAAAGGCGCACTTACTATTTGGGCTTTCATCAATGGCCACTAGGATGTCTCTCCCTCTCTTCCTCTCAAAGGATTCCCTCTCCAGTTCTGGATGCCCTACTTTCGGTATCAACGTCGGCAACGTCACCTCTCTCCACCCGAATTCCTCTACCTCCCCCATTATTGTCTCCATGCTTTGGCTCCCCTTCATTTCTCTCTTGCAACCGATCTTGACAACTCCTGAGAATTCAGATCACCAATTGCCACCGGATCTAATTAACTGCTTTTCTTTTATAACTTTCTTTCACCTTTCTATCTTTTCATTTTCACCCTTCGCCCTTCGGAGATGGATTCAACAACATTTGATTCAAGGCGCGTGAGATTCTTAAATTTTGTGTAGGATTGATCCCTGCACTCCGTCAAATTGGAATCAATCAACCACTGTTTATTTTACGCTGCTGCGTTTGGCCCCGGTGTAGTATGTTGGATGTGATTTGGGTAAAGGAATACACATTGCACCCGGTGTGGATGCTATACAAACGGATCATCGATGGGTGTGATTAATGGGTAATGATCTACCTCTGTGGAAACAATAATCACTTACACTACCCTGCAACACACCGAGATCAAACCAAATGGTTAAACCCATTCGGGAATCGGGATCCATGTTTTTTGTTGGTTCAATTAAGGGTGCAAGTTGGACGGCACGGGCTGGGTCGAGTTTATGGTAAATTCAAGTCCAACTTTTAGATTTGGGCGGCCGGACTGAGCCTGAGTTCAAGCCAGACCTTTCTAACCTAGCCTAGCCCATATTATAATTTGATGCATTTATATCTACTCTAAAATTATATATCTATTTATGTATTTATACAAATATATATATATATATATATATATTTACATATATATGTAAATATATATTTATATATATATATATGCATAAATGTATATAGTTAAATTAGGATTGGATAGGGACAAGGTCGTATCAGGGTTAGATTATTTAATAATTGGGTTGGAGCTCAGCCCAAAAAAAAATAAGCACAAAGTATTAAGCCCTAGTGAAATCCAAAAACCAAAAATCTAAATCCAGTCCATGTAAAATTTTGTAATGGGTCGACCAACGATTAAGTTGGGCCCGTCCAAGTTGCACCCGTAGGTTTGCCCGATCAAACCATTAAAACAACCACCCAACCACTTTTTTGGGGTTAGTTTATATAGTATATACATAGTAGATAATATAAAATAGATTGTTCATTTGGATGAGAAAGAAATGCGAGTGATTTGAGCTTATTCCACGAAATAACCTGGCCACATTGTCACAAGTGTTCTCTTCGCCGTGCCATCAAGTGCCATCCAGTAGGCCTGCAGCTGCCATCTGAGGGTCCAAGTGTGTGTCTTGGGTGGAGCAATGCTTGTATTTTGTACGGGGGTTCCCAATGGCATTGTTGTAAGTACCTAGTATAAATTTTCACCCTTTTGATGTATCTTTATGTCATTCCCCCAAAAGCCTAACGTACTCTTTRAGGGGAGGTAGGTAGTCGAGTGAATCAAGAGCATGTAAAGGTTAAGCACAAGATCCCCTCAACACTGAACTGTGTACTTATATTTTCCATCCATTAATGCAATACAATTTGCCTTTTGTCTAATTCGTGTGTCATCTTTGTTGCATTTTCTTGTGTTGTTGCTTGTTGCCTAGGCTTACTCGTCGCATTTGAGTGCCACACAGGGCCCCAACGACTAACCCCATAACAGTTGGTATCAAATCAGGAGCTCCTACACACACATTGGACCTTGTCTTCGCCCCTACTTAAGTACAATGAAGAGCAACCGTGACATTTTTGATGACACACTACATGGGCTGCACCAAGCCCACGATACCAATGAGGCTCCACTTGACGATCCCACCAAGACATAAGCCCCAAAGGGCCGCAAAATTAGAGCTAGCAAGTGCGACAAGTCAGTCGTCCAACTAGCCAGCATGGACATGAATATCCTACGTTGCGAGGCGATAGTAGGTGAAACCCGAGATCGGGTCGATGAACTCCACCTCAACCTAGAGACTATGGAGAATGCGGCGGTGGAACTAGAGGGGCAATTCAATGGCACCTTCAGAGATATGCACACCACCCTATAAAGCTCGGGAGCAGGGCCTTCCCAAAGTAGCTTGCAAGGCTTACTAGACAGATTTCAAGCACAATTAGACGAGATGACTCTCCTCAAAAGGGCGGTGGCCAATTCTTTTAGCACTCCCTCCACCCTAGCTCCCATGCACATCAAAATTCGTGAGCCAACACCTTACTCGGGTGCTCGGGATGCTAGGGAGCTTGACAATATTTTGTGGCAATTTAAGCAATATTTCTCTACCACTAGCATCATGGACAACCAAACTCAGGTATGCACAACCGCTATGTATTTGACTGATATTGCAACGTTATGATGGTGTAGGTGTTGCCAAGACATTGAATGGGGCACCCGCACCATTAACACCTGGGCTGGATTCAAACATGAGATCAAGCGCCAATTCTACCCGAGAATGTGGAGTACCTGGTGCGTAGAAGAATGAAGAACTTGAGACATCAAGAATCGCTTCATGACTACGTCAAAGAATTCTCGGCCTTGACTTTTGAGATCTCTAACATGTCAGACAAAGACATTTTGTTTAATTTCATGGACGGTCTCAAGCCATGGGCTGAGCTTGAACTTCAACAACACGCAGTGAAGGACCTCACCATTGCCATGGCCGTAGCTGAGCAACTTGTTGATCTAAGGACACCTAATGAAAAAGAGCAAAACCCATCTAGCCCACGTACCATGAGTTTGAGTGGGGGAGATCAACAATCAACCTCTACACTGAAGAAACCAGTGCAATCTGACAAGCCCAACAATTACCGACAAGGGAATAAACCGCAAGGAGCCCAAAGCTATCAGGGCCATCGACACACTAGGAGACCCACCACACCTCTAGTGCCTTGCTTCATATGTAATGAAATGCATTGGACAAGTGACTGTCCAACACGGAAGAAAATCAATACTCTCATTGCCAAACTCATTGACAGTGAGGAGAGTGATGAGGAGAAACCTACACAAGCGCCAAGAGTAGGCGCTCTCCAAATCATAAGTGCCATGGTAAAGAAAGAGGCTGCATCCAAACGGCCCACCAAGGCCCACAAGGGGCTGAAATATATAGATATCACCCTCAGCGGGAGGCCAACCCAAGCATTGGTGGACACTGGGGCCACCCACAACTTCATCTCGTTTGTAGAGGCAAAGAGATTCGGCTTGACCACGACCAAACAAATAGGGTGGATCAAGGCCGTTAACTCGAAGGACAAGGCAATAGAAGGCATGGCCCATGGAGTAGACTTACAAGTGGGACCATGGAAAGGCAAAATCAACTTATTTGTGGTTCCCTTGGATGATTTTCAAGTTGTCATTGGAGTGGAGTTCCTGACATAGGAAGAAGTAGCTCTTATGCCACACCTTAACACCTTATTCATCTTGGACGAACATTCTCCATGCATGGTCCCAGTGATATCAGCTCTCAAGGTACATGGGAAGCAGCTTTTAGCCTTGTAATGGTACCAAGAAACAAGCGACATCAAAGCCAATGCCATGCCAACAAGGAAGACCCCATTACAAGATCACACCTCAGCAATGGTACTGGTTGGGAAGTCGTCACCAAGAAGAAATCTCATTGGAAGTCATTCCAGCATCAGCGCCAGCATCAACATCAACATCAGCATTAGTGCCAACGTCAACACCATGAGCCGATAGGACAGAAGACTCCTAGAAGACCTAAGGCCGTCTCCAGCCACAACCACTTCCACCATCACCATCGTTGGGGAGAGTGAATACCACCCAAACCATTTAGGTGTCCTTCCTACCACCACATTGATCCAGCCAACCCTCATAGGAACCTTGGGAGGAACAACCCTTGGGGGACAAATCATCATGGGAACCAACACCCAAAAAATCCAAACTATCCTTTTGACCTAGACCTAGCCAAAAACATACTACCACTAAAGCAGAACATCCTACATTGAAGCAACGTAGGAACCTGCCGGGTAAAGTCCGGACTCCGGACACCAAAAACGAATCAAATTTTGTTAACCCGCACTCTCCATTTTCATTTCTCGAACTCTCTCGAACTGCTCTTTCTCTCTCCCACCCATCCACCACTACTGCAACCAACCGCCGTTCGTTCGTCCGCTGCAACGACCGGAATCTTTCCACCACTTTTGTTCCTCACCGGAGACCACTCTCGACCGTCGCTCGTTCTTCCCACCGGAGACCACACTCAACCCTCTCCTCTGCAACGCCGCCACAACCGCGCATTCTCACACTACTGGAAGAAACAGGTTAGAGCCCTAGCATTTAGAAACTGAATGAATAAAACATTTTTTTTTGGGTTACAGAGGGAGATTTTAGTTTGAAATAAATGGTTTTGCTTGATTCGGTTCGTCTGTAACCCAAGTTGTATGTTTGTCTTTTTGCATTATAGGACTAGTTCTGCCCTGTAACTAAGAATAGAAAATGCAAATTTCCTTTTCTCCCATTTCTTATTCTTATTTCAATTCTTTAGGGTCTTACTGCTCTTAATTGTAATATTAAAAACGTTCCAGCATTCTCTTGTTGGATTTTCTACCTAGAAGTTTGAATTGGACTAAAAAGGTTAATGTTATTTTTTAATAATAGACAAAGTATGCTTTCATTAATATAATTAAAAAATCCCTTGTACAAATCTGATATGAGAACAATTTGAGATCAAATCCAGATGCCCTAAATATGTAACTGAAATAAATTTGCAGTTACACGTATCTGATCCCAATCTGACCCTTTTTACAGCATTAGATCTATGTTTCTTGGTTCAATACAGATGCATCCTAATGCCTCTTACCTAAGTAGATGTTGGACATATGGTATATAGTATATACTCCATTCAACCTGAATTTATATGGTCAGTAATTTACATCTAGGCAGTCTCTTGTACAAATTATCAGCTTGATGACTAGTATCTCAGCGATCAACTGACATATAGACTTACATGTAGAATGTTTTCTTGAACTCTATCTGTCTAGAAAGGGTTCAATTCTTCATTTTGCGCACCTCGTATTGTTTATGAGTCATTATTATTAAATCTGCGGCTGTGGACTTGTACCCGCACTACCTTTATGTACAAGGCTGGTGATACCATTTCAAGTGTTAGTGAAGTCATGTTGAGTATACCAACCTTCATTAAGTCCTGAATCATGCATAGGACTCATCCAACTGGACCATAAACATGCCTCATTGCTCTGAGGAGTTGGATCACATTAAATTTGTGTCACTAATGATAAGACACAGTGTCAGACAGAATAGATACATGCTCATAAAACAGAAACCAACATATATGAGTCACTGTCATTGTCCAACTTTATGTTTGTTTGGTTTTAATTTATCTAATTTATTCTAGGGAGCTGGTATCTATTGACCCTTGAGTGATTTTTGTCTGAGCATCTGGTCAAAGGAGAGGGGAAGTATGGCAACAGAATCATCAGAGGGGGAGGAGGAAGGGAAGGCAATAGGCGGGAACCAGCATCTGGTGGTGGACGATGACCTCAGAGAGATGGCTAAGAAGGCTGCCTGGAGCGTTAGTTCTTGCAAGACCGGCAATGGCGTCCAATTCCTCCGTGATGACAACCTTGATACCTACTGGCAGTTCGTACCTTAATTTATACCTCTCCCATCTCTTTACTTTCTTTTCCGCTTTCAGTCTTTTGCTCTGCAAAAATACCCACAACCCCCTCTGTTGATAATCTACTTAAATTTTCTTTCCCTTCTAATTACTACATTTCTGATAGGCACCTTTCTCTTTTTCTATCCCTCAACAATTATCAACTTTCAATTGCTTTAGTTGAAAACTTTGTTGTTTCAGATCAGATGGTGCACAGCCTCATTTAGTAAATATCCAATTCCAGAAGAAAGTGAAATTGCAAGTATGCATGTTTCTCTCTCTTCCTCACCCACATGCACATTCTCAGTTTCAAACCTAGATGCTTTTTGTCATGGTTTCATGATGACTACTGATACAAGTTTGTTGCTGTTCAGCTGGTTGTCCTTTATGTGGATTTCAAGCTTGACGAGAGTTACACGCCCAGCAAGATCTCCATTCGGGCTGGTGATGGCTTTCACAACTTGAAGGTAGCTTCCTTTTCGTCTACGACTGTTCCCTAATTAACACTGGTGTAATACATAATTAAGTAATATTTCATGGCCAGACTCCTATCCTCTTGAATCATAAGAGGATTAATTGTTTTTAACTTTTTCATTTTATACATGTAACTGAGTATTCTGCTGCGTCCCCTTCTTTTTGACTTACCCAAATAACCCAAACTATGACTATGGTTGACTTTTTTGATTCTGTGCAACCTAATTCTTTCAGGAGATAAAAACTGTGGAGCTTGTGAAGCCAATCGGTTGGGTATACGTATCATTATCTGGAGCAGATCCTCGGTAAGCCTAAATCTTATACTTGTAAGTGCAAGTTGACCATATTTTATCTGCTTTGGTTCTTGAGGTTCATGTGCTACTTGTTTTATTTGCTCCACTAACTTTGCCACCTTTGTATGTTGTCAGTTTTATCATTTTCTTCTGTATATTCACTTGATGGCTTGCATTTTCCAGTGCCAAACCATTATATGTTGCCGAAAATCATTTTGTTAGCAAAGAAGTGCATGATATTAGCCTCCTTTTGTTACTTCTGACCATACTGCATAGACATATGATATTAAAAAGACACGTTTACAGAAGCCTATAAAAGCTAAATAAGATAGAAACCGAGCTGTTAATTTGACATGCTCTGAGAATGTAAACATTAGAATGATCTCCCACACCTCCATCCTCCTCCCCCAACCAAAAAAGTAAAGGAAATCCTTGATATACACATTTTAACAGAAAGATAATGGAGAGAGAAATTGAAAAACAAATTAAACATAAATGTGGTTAAGCCACTCAAGTCAAATAAAAAAAGGGAAGCCCAGTGCACAAGGTTCCTGCCAATTCGGGGTCTGGGGAGGGACAGATGTACACAGCCTTACCCCTACACATACAAGGAGGCTGGTTCCAAGATATCAACCCTGGTCACCCAGGTTGCAATGGAACAACCCAACCGTTGTGCAAGGTCCACCCTCAGCCACTCAAGTCAAATACAAGAGGAATTTTTTTAGGAATACTAGTTAGTAATATATGTAGTTTACATGTAGTGAGCATCAAATTTTATATAATTGACCCACCTCCAAGATTGCATCAACATCAAACTAAAAAGTTACTAGCTTTGAAATACCATTTCCATAATATTTATGTGATCACTGAGGTCATATAATCAAAACTTAATGATCTTTTTGAGTGATATTTTTTAAGAAAACGTAAAGTATAATTGTATTAATCAACCGGTCCTTTGTACAATGAGAAGCTCTACAAAAACTAAACAAAAGGACCTCAAAAAAAGGCCACCCTCAAAAAAGTACAATCAGATGTATCCTCTTTAAAACCTGTGTATATAGACAACCAGCTCCTAACAAACTCTATAGCTATGTTGATGAATCAGCTTCAGTGGAGGCTTTGTGATAAAAAATCCTACTGTTCCTTTCAGTCCACACTGCCCACAGAATTGCCAAAGGAATAGAGGACCAACAAATTTTCCCTTTCTTTGTCATCCCTGGTATCTGCCAAGCCTCCAAGCATGCTTTAACTGAGGCAGGTATGCTCCAGCTTACCTTTAGGATCTTTAGAAAATTGTTCCAAATCACTGTTACAAATTTGCAGTGTAAAAACAGATGGTTAACTGTTTCCGTCTCCACACTACAAAGGCTGCATCTCAAGTATTGGAAATAAAACCTCTCTTCAGCAGCATCTCTTTAGTGAGGCATTTCTCTAAAGCTGCCACCCAAACAAAAAATTTGACTTTAGAGGGTGCCACTGTCCCCCAAATGGCCCTGCTAGGAAAAGGGGCTTCATTTTCTCCTACTAAACCTAATTCTATCAATGTTGAATTATGCGGCAGCATTGTGGTTGGGCCTAACCCAGACCTAATTCTATCAGTGTTGAAAATGTTGGGTTAGACTCATATGAAGCTAACTTTACAGATGTATTTTTTTTAATCAATGCTAACTTTACAAATGTTAAACAGCATTATAGCGTACAAGCTGAAAAATGAATGGATGTAACAGAGATATCAGAGAATTCAATTTTGTTTTCATAACACTAAAACCTGTGACAGTCTAATCATGTTTCCAATAAAGGGCTGGAATAGGTCTGATAAGTCAGCACAGTATCCCACAAATGATAGATAATTTAGGTATATACCTGTTATTCTTACCTCAAATGTTTCCCTTGCCTAATTTTTTTATTTCAGCATTATTCTCTTTTCTTCCCTCCTTGTTTGTGTTACATCTTATCATTTTGCACAAGGTTGTCAATGTCCAACTGCCTTTCTAACCACTTAAAGGGGTTTGAAAGGAAGTTGTGATGCATTCTACGTTTGATATCTATTAGCAGAAAACACAGAATATGGTTATTAAGGTTAAGAATCTCAAGATGATGGTTGGGTTTGAGGCTCTGCATATAGCCCTGGCTTTGAGATAATTTCTTGTGAGCACCTATGGCATACCTTGGGTTTAATATGCAACAAAATTGAATTTTTATTTTATCAAACTTTCAACCTTGATCTTGTGGTATTATGGTTTTATACGTTCAATATGCTAGTCATTGATCCATGTCATTCAAACTTTAGTGGATCATTGTGGAAATTTCTTCCATTGAGAGAATTGAAAAAAGAAATGACTATATGATGGAAGAAGGATGGACAAAGAAAAAAAATGACTATATGACTGAAGGAGAACAAAATGACCAGGGTGAAGGTTGAACTGTTTGTTTCTAGGTAAGGCTTTACAGCTCCTATGAAGGAAGACTTTACTAAAAAATCAGCAGCTATAAATAATGAGCACATGGAGAATTGAAGTAGAATATAGCTCCCAAAAGGAAAGAAGCAGTTAGCTCAATTTTGGCCTTTTCATGTTTGTCTTCTGTTTGCAGGCTAATGCTTTTACTCGTTTGTTGTTTCTTCAGTTCTTGCCTCTTTTATTTCCTTTCCCTCCAACAAGTTATTGTTATTCATCAAAGGAGTAAACACTGTTAGGTGATCTTTATTAGGAGTGTTAGACTGCTACTGGATGTCAACAGTTTATTGTCTTATTTGCTTTTAGGTGTCTTGCTTCAGCTAGATTGTAGGGTAATATGAAGATTTGCTTTTTGTTATGTATTGTTGGCTCACATAGGGGTAATTTGGAAAATTTGTTTTATGTATGGCTAGCTCACATCTAGGGGTGCAAGTTGGGCTGGTTTAGGTTGGGTTGAGTTAACCCAAATCAAGTTGATGAACCCCTGTAACCCTAATCCAACTGTATGACATTGGGTTGGGTTTATGTTGGCCCAATTTCTTTGCTTGTTTTTGCTTTAAAAATGTTCTCACTCCTTAGGCTTTGGATTAGCCTATTAGGATTACTAGCCTTAACAGTACATATATGGAGAGAAATGAGGAGACTAGGGCTTGTTTGTTTAAGATGAGATTGAAAAAACTTGGGTAGACTACACAAAGGGGTTGATGACCCCATCACAGATCGGTCTAGAACTTGATGAGGTTACCATCCCCTAAGCTGAAACGAATGAAGTTTGAAAATAAGGCAAGGATTGGATGATACTTTTTCAATGGTGACTAGCCAAGTAATGATGGATTACAGAAGCCCAGGTTGAAACTTTCACCAAAGATGCTGCAAATTACAGAAGCCCACAGAGCACTAGGTTCTTTCTTCAATCTCCAGTGCCACTTCCCAAGCAGGGCTAGATTTCTTTCTTCTAAGCACCCTGCACTCAAACCACCTTTTTTTGACTTACAAATTGTCTTCCAATTAACCAAGTGGTCCTTCTTCATGCCATCCTCACCCCCATACCGCAGAAAGTCTCTATGAAGCTTTTTTGGCTCTTGTATGGATACATTTGGGAATTATATCTCTTACTCATCTCTCATATAACTTCCGCCAAGAGAGAAAGATACAGAGAATGAAGAGGAGAGGGAAAAGGGAGAATGGTCATATGTACCCAACAAGGTACTACGCAAACACTTAAAAATTCCATTATTCAACTTTAAATCAATAAAGGTGATCAATTTATACACATTTGTCAGTCAACTCTATTCTTCCTGTATAGAAAATGGAAGTTCTTCTTAGAGAGGAGATTTCCTGGAGACAAAAGTCAAGACACAAATGGATCAAAGACTGAAAGAAGGGGACGACAATACAAAATTTTTCCATGTGTTGGCTAGTGGGAGGAGAAGAAAAAACTATGTGGCCAAATTAGAAGTGGATGGGGAGGAAGTCACAAATCAATATGAGATAGCCAAAGTGTTGGTGGATCACTTTAAATCAATTGTAGGGAAGCCATTGAATAATAGATTAAGGTTGGAAGGTCTAAATTGGCCAAGGTTGTCTGAAGAGCATGCAATCTGGTTAGAGAGAAGCTTTGAAGAAGAGGAAACCAGGCATGCAGTGTTTTCAATGGATAGATCCAAAGCCCCTGGGCTAGATGGCTTCACCATGGCTTTTTATCAAGATTGCTGGAATGTGGTAAGAGAAGACCTTTGTGCAGCGTTTAAGGAATTTGAGGATAATAACAAAGTAAGCCCTGGAGTTAATGCTACTTTCATAGCCCTAATCCCTAAGAAGAAGGAAGCAAAAAATCTTAAAGATTTTTGGCCAATCAGTTTGGTGACTAGCATTTACAAAATCCTGGCTTAAGTATTATCTTTGAAGATTAAAGCAGTGCTACCCTCCATCATTAGTCAAGTTCAGGGAGCATTCGTGCAAGGGAGACAAATAACAGATCAGATCCTAATAGCTAATGAGTGTGTGGAGGATATGAGAAAGTCCAGAAAGCAAGGTTTTGTGTGTAAGCTGGATTTAGAAAAGGCCTATGATTATGTGGATTGGAGTTTCTTGTTAGAGGTCCTAGAGTGTTGTGGGTTTGGAGTTAGGTGGTGTAATTGGATAAAGGGCTGCATAAGTTCTTGCCATTTCTCAGTCTTGGTTAATGGGGTAGTCAAGGATTTCTTCCCAGCTTTTAGAGGGTTAAGGCAAGGTGACCCCCTTTCTCCCTTCCTCTTTACCCTAGTTGTAGATGTTTTCAGTAGTTTGACCTCTAAGGCAAACATGGAAGGAGTAGTGAGAGGTTGGAGGATAGGAAGGAACGGGATTAGGGTGACCCACTTACAATTTGCTGATTACCTAATAATTTTTTGTGAAGGGGGACCATAGGGGAACAATAAGTAATCTCAAATCTTTGATAAAGCACTTTGAGAGAGTATCAAATCTTAAAATAAACATCGAAAAGAGCTGATGGTGGGTGTGAATTTGGATGAGGGGACTATTGAGTCTGTGGCCGAGTGTCTAGGTTGTCCATTTCCTCTTGGCCCTTACAGTATTTAGGTATACCTCTAGGAGCCAACCCTAAGGAGAGCACCTTTTGGGCCCCGGTTCTGGAAAAGTTTGAGAAAAGGTTAGCTTTGTGGAAAAGGAACTATATTTCCTTAGGGGGTAGAGTAACATTATTGAAAGCTTTCTTAGCAAATCTGTCGATTTATTACTTCTCTGTGTTTAGAATTCCTGTTAGGGAGGCTAAGAAGTTGGAGAGATTAATGAGAAATTTTCTTTGGGAGTCAGGGGAGGAAAAAAATGATCACTTAATAAATTGGGGAATAGTGTGTAGGAGGAAAGAGGAGGGTGGGTTGGGTCTGGGGAACTTAGTTTTGAAGAATAAAGCACTCCTAGGAAAATGGTTGTGGAGATGGCCCTTAGAACAGGAGAGACTATGGCATGAGGTGATAGGTAGTATACATGGCAGCTCGGTAAATGGGTGGGATGCTGGTATATTGCGTCGAGCCACGTTGGCAACTCCTTGGAAAGCAATTCAGAGTATTCTCCCTATTTTCCTCAACTGTATCAGGTATGATGTCAGTTCTGGTACTTCTGTTTTGTTTTGGGAAGACATCTGGGTGGGCAATTCGGTCCTTAAGGACAGTTTCCCTTCTCTCTATTCCCTTTCTTGCTACAAGGATAAAACAATGTTTCACTTTCTACCAACATCTATTTCTCCATCCTCCTTGAATTGGGACTTTGGGTTTCATAGGGGCTTGAGGAATCATGAACTCTCTTGTGTTTCAGACCTTTTGTCACGACTTGAAAGTGTTTTTCTGGATCCTCTCAAATTTGATGTGAGACTTTGGTCCCTTAATCCAAAAGGTTATTTCACATGTGCCTCCTTCTTTAAGTCCCTTTGCTAACCCTCGGGACAAGTGAGTTTCCTAGCTAAGGAGATTTGGTCTAAACCTGTACCTCTTAAAATTATTATTTTCTGCTGGGAGGTGTTCTATAGGAAAATCAACACTGGGGACTTATTGCAGAAGAGAATGCCTTCTATGTGTCTGTCTCCTAATTGGAGTGTACTTTGCTAGGCCAATGGTGAGGATTGCTCTCACTTACTTTTAACCTGTTCTTTTTTATGCTATTTGGGGTTGGGTCTTTGCCTTGTTTGGATGCAGATGGAATTTGACCACAGCCGTAGATCAGCTCTTTGACCCTTCCTTCTTTGTGTGGCCCACAAAAATTGGTAAAACAACGTGGAGGTGCATTAGAGCAGCTGCTTTGTGGACAATTTGGTAAGAAAGAAATGTGAGGATTTTCCAAGAGGCGAGAAATTTTCAGAATGTAAAGGATTGCATTTTGACCCGAGCAATCCATTGGCTGAAATCATTGGATTCCTTTAAAATATATTCCTTTGGTGACATTTGGAGGAACTGGATAGCTGTGGCTAGTAGCAGTAACAGGAAGAACAGGGTACCAGCTGTGTGGGTGCCTCCTTCTGAGGGCTGGACAAAGCTGAATTTTGATGGTAGCAGCTAGGAAATCCAGGTCCATCAGGGATAGGAGGGGTGCTGAGAGATAAAGATAGTAATATATTAGCTTTATTCTCAGGCCCTGTGGGTATAGGAGACTCAATTAGAGCTGAGCTTCTAGCAGCAGTACAAGGTATCCAGATTGCAGATCAGTTAGGAGTTCAGAATTTGCCTATTGAAGGAGACTTCAAAGTCGTGGTGGGTTGGTTAAAAAATCCAGCTTCAGTTATTTGGTGCTACAGGGATATTATGAGGAAAGCTAATTGGTTTTCAAGGAACATGACTGTTAATTATCAGCGGGTGGGTAGAACAGCTAATACCATAGCGGATGGATTGGCTAAGCAAGGGGTTTTGAGAGAACATTTATTCTGGGCAGCTCTGTAAACTCTCATCTCCTAGTCTGATGTAGTACATTGTTGTTGTGTAGGGGAGATACCAGCTCGTGCCTCTCCTTGGGCAGGCTGTTTTGTAACTTCATTCTGATTATTATGAATAAGTTACCAATCATTTATCAAAAAAAAAAAGAAAATGGAAACTTCTAGTAGGGAAAAATTACTTCAGGTCCAAGACAGCTCTTGTGGACAGCACACGACTTTTTAAGAAATTAAGATGTTAAAAAATTGTCCAAGATTTGAATCAGGTAGAGAATTATGATTCTTCCACTATAGAGCAATAACCTAGAGATTTTGAAAATATCTTTTGAAAGATTGACTTTTAATGGACCAAAGGCATTGCTTGATGTAACTTGAGAAAGCCTTAAAACTCTGTGAACCCCAAGGAATAGTCTCCACTTTTCTAGGTTCTCTCTCCAAATTGAGAATTGCCCCTTTTCTTCTTTTTTCATTTACAAGCCTGAATTATGGTTTATATAGGAACTCTAAAATCTAATTTAAGATCAACCCTTTGACTGAAAACCAATAGATCTACACATGTATCATGATATATTAAAAAACATAGTACACACACACACACACACACACACACATATATATATGAATTTCTATTTATGTATGTTTCCCTGTAAATTGTCCCCAAATTTTCTTAAAAAACTAAAACAAATGTTGCTTTTCATTTTATGCTTCATGCTTTCAATTCAATTAAAACTTTAAGAAAACAATATGGAAACTTTCTAGAAAACCTGAATATTGCAAAAGTTCAGACTTTCAACAATAGCATTGCAACATCACAGGTAAGAAATAAATAACCAGAAGATTTCTTCTAATAAATAATTAAAAAAATGTTAGTGAATAATATAGTTATGAGCACAAAACTTTTGTTTTCTAAATAACAAAACTATGAAACTGAATGATATTTTTCTCTACCTAAATAAACATTATTGTCAAGAAGTCTCCACCTTATCTCTTTTTAAGAAAAGGGAAAAGGCACTTGTTCTTTTAAAAAGAAAAATATTAAACCCCAAAGCATTTGAAAATTCAAAGAAATTAAAACCCAATTACAATGGCACACAGGTTAAAGAAGAGAAGAGACATATGAATAGCCAAAATGGATCATGAAAAAGGTTTGAGAACAAATGTTTTTTTATTTGCAATTACATTAAAAAAGATTAAATAGTAGAGGTGAAAGCATACTTGGGAGGTTTTCCCATTTACAATTTATTTATAAATAATTATTTGGGCTGTGCTGTATGGTGGTGAGTGTGTTCTGCTGGTTCTTTCTCTCTTATCTGCTTGCTTTACTTTCATTACTATTATGCTCCTTATCACTATAGCTCTAATTTTTTTAATTACTGCTAAATAAAGTGTTTTTCTTCAAAACTTGGATGGTTAATAGTCTTCTCCTAAAATAAGTAAATTGCCAATTACATGTTAACAATTTAACAATATGTTGAACTTGAAAACTGAGATTATAGACTAAAAGGGTTTGAAATTTTATATTCGGATTACCATCTTTTATTCATTGTTATTAATTAATTGACCAAAAGATTGCAGATTATGTGAAATTTTGAGAAATACCCATGTTGCTCAACCATTAACCCAATGATAGCTCGAGACCAAACCGAGTTTCCTACAGAACTTGATCGATGAATAATAGAGAAGAATTTATTTAGAAAGGGATAGAGACGTTTGGAAAACCTTGGCGGGAGATGCTTTGGAAGTCCAAATGTCTCTTGCACGTCATTAGACTTCATTGTTATTATGTGGATTTAAAAAACAAAAAAGAAAAAATCAAAATTCTAAAAAATTAGGAAGGGGTGGGGGAGGGGGAGCAAGGAGAGACATGCTGACATGGCCACCCAATATATATATATATATATATATAGATATATAGATATAGATATATAGATAGATAGATAGATAGATAGACAGAGAGAGAGAGAGAGAGAGAGAGTAAAATACACATAACTTAAACCAGTGTGGAGAGATTGACGGGGTGGATAACTATGTACAAGTTTTATTTATTTCTTGTTACTATTCGTATGGATTTCTTCTGTGCAAAATTTACCATCAGCTTTTGAATTTACTAAAAGTGTGCTCAAGTAATTTCTCCTGTCATTGACAGCATAAGTGGCTACTAGTGCTAGACTGCTAGTTCAAGTTAGCTTTGTTTCTATTTATTGAACATTATAAACTGTTTTGTATGTATAGATAAAAAGACATAACAGTGTCTGAATTTTGTGTTCACCATTTGTCGCAGAGAAGCATTTCTCAACACCTTCATGCTACAAATTGCCGTTCTGTCCAATCACCTTAATGGGAGGGATACCCATGTGCGCCAGATCAAAGTTTATGGGCCTCGTCCGTAAGTAGTCAGGACTCAGGATCCTTTCAATCATTTTTCTGAGATTATTCACAATGCACTGGTCTCCTAATTTACTTTTGCCTTTTATGCTGTGTTATAGGAACCCAATTCCTCACCAACCGTTTCAGTTTACTTCAAGGGAGTTCATAACATACTCCTGTGTGAGATGATAAATGCTGTCATGCTTACTGAGATCAGCTTAAAGTGGAATGTATTGCCAAATGCCAAGAGTACAGAAAACAGCATCCCAGTCAGACTGCCCAGGATTCACGAGAAGATTCTGGCAGTCTTTTTGAGGTTCTTATGTTTTTAGAACTTTTGTCCTGCTTGGTTTTTGAAAGGACTTATCTTTCCTAGCTGGAAATATGGCATCCATGTCTCCTGAATATAATAGTGATCAGTTACCCTTTGCTTTGCCAATATCCATTGAAGAAAGGATACAGAAAAGCATTATTGATCTGTTTTTGCATGATCTTATGCCTTCTATGTAATATGCAAACCTCCAATGATATATAGGGTTGTAGGTGTCTAATTAAGGCTAGGGTTTATAGATTTTATTCAGACACCTGGGGTTACTTTAGTTCTCCAATCTGATGACGGATGGATGGAAAGCAATCACAATGGTTAATAAGGAGCGTTCATTCCTAAGAAGCTGTACTAGTACAACTAGTTCACTTGTATGTTATATCCAACACTGCCCCTACCGACGTTTGGATTCCATACAATGAAAGATGCAAATGTTGGTTTGGTAAAAAGAAAAAAAAAAGTTGCCACTCAAATCAGTATCAGATCCAAGCCTATATGCTTTAACCTCCTAGTTTTCGCAGACCACCCATCCAAACCATCACATATCAGCAGAATTATCCAACCAAACATAGCAGAACAGCGCAGTAGGCAGCTATTACGCTTCAGGTTATGGTAAGAAAATCAAGCACCGTCTCCTCAAGATCTGATTACACCGGCAGTTCGGCCAACATTGCCAGCTCCTGTGCCACCACCTAAGGTATGACTAATGAGTCTCAAACCCCATCACCATTTTACTCGGTCCTTCCATCACAGATTAGTTCTCAACCTATCTCACATGGATATGCTCCCAGCCCTTATTACCATTTCGCCATTTCGCACTGCTTCTAAACTGTTGACCAAAACATCTTCATAATCCCTTCTACTCATTGGTCCTCTCAGATGCAACAAGCAACTCAAGCAGCTTTTCAGCCCTCATCATCTCCAACAAGACGAGACTCTAATGCAAACTGCAAATCATGCAGCTTCTCAATGCCCATCTCCAACAAGGCAATTCCTTCCATCACAACCTACAACTCGAGCAGGACCTTAATCTCCATCTCCATATCAGATCTCTTAGGCAAAAACCTCTCATAAACTAGTCTCTCGCCCCAAAAACCAAAACCAATTGCAAGACACCTCTCAATTAGAGGCTAATGCACATATGTAGTGTGTAAAACGGTCTATATAAATTGCAAAGTTGGATTAGTTTTGCACTGACAACTAATTTACTTTCTTACCAAACAGAGTTTTAGTGGTAATCGATGCAAATATGGATTCCAATAAAGTATATGCCTTTTTTTTATGAGAAGCCTACTTGAATGCAAATTTACTTTTTTTTTTATTGATGTACTTTTATATCTCATATGTAATTATGCATTGGAAAATGTGTTTTTTGTCATTTGTCAATATATAAATGCAATGTTGTCAAACACAGGCAAAAGTGACTCAGAGTTTAAATTTACCCTGAACCGGGATTTACACTCCATTTGCATCATTCCCAAACACAGCCCAAGGTAAAAGAGCCTTCACAAGAAATGCCTTCCTTGACAAAGATATCAAAGCCTTCAAATTACTACTACACTTGGCCTCCAAAATCAGGAAAAAAAAAAAACAGGAAGGGGAGAAGTATAAATCAAAACCAGAGAGAAGGAAAGAAGAGAAGCTGAAAGCCCTGGTTAATCAGCAACCAGCACAAATTGGACGCAAGGCATCAGGATCAATGAAAGAGGTCAAGTGGCAATCAGGTATAGTATCTCAAATAGAACACATACAGCTTGAGAAACAAACCTTTCTGGATGAAGAAGGCAAAAGTGATAGGCTTTAAAAGGAAAGGAAAGCAAAACACAATTTCCCCCAAATTGTACATCTCACCATGAACAGCCTCCTGTGGGCAAAAAATTCAGGGAAGATGTTTCTAGGTTTGACAACAAGCTGGCAGTGGGGCATCGAAGCAGCCCATAGAGGTGAACCAAGTTACTGTCATAACCCTGGTTGCTGAAAATAGAGGAGCAGCAATGCATATAGGTAATGAGTCAGCTAAAAAAGAAGAGTCAATCCATATTCACAGGAGTTACAAGTAAGAGTGTCTATGGATCAGTTCTGTCCAGTCCAAAATCAATTTGGACGGATTGGATGAACCAACAAGACATTGGATTGGACCAATCTGATCCAAAATACTTATTAGATTGGATTGGATCTGGTTCATCTGTAATAAATTTATATTGGATTAGGTTGGATTAGACCAATTTCTAGTCCATTGATATAGGATAAGAATATAGGTGACAATAGACCGTGTTTGAGTTGAAAACAATTTAAAATAAAATGAATTTGAACAGATTGGACAATCCAGACATTAAATTGGACCGATCAAAAATTATTCAAAATATTTATTGGATTAAATTGGACCTGATTCATTAATAATTAATTCACATTGGATTGGGTTGGATTGGACCAAATCAGTCCAATTGACACCCCTAGCTACAAGCTTAATCAGGATGACCATGTAGAAGAAACCACCAACGGAGAGTTCAGTGCTGATACGAGAATATTAGATGATCCAAATACAGAAGAAACATCACTTACAATGTTCATTAATAGCAATGCACAGAGCATCAACAATTCACTTCTTTTTGACAGTTACTTCAATGAATTGCATGTTCATCAACACCCATCAAAAGGCTACTGTCATAAAAAAAAGGGAGACTGATGGTTCACCCCAGGGTCAGAATTTATAGGTTCAAAGTACATTTTGGGTGTCAGTTTGGAATTGGTATTAATTCATGGACGAATATGAATACATAGAGTGTGGGTTTTTGACCTTTTGAATATTTATAGTTTTGCAGTAAAAATCAGTGTGAGAACTGGTAAATTATTATGGGGTCCCATATCCACTATTCCAGATCTATGCATTAACTAGCCCAAATTAACCATTAATCACACAATTGAGAATTCTCTGTAAAACAAAATCTAAGTTTGACTTGGCAGGGTAATGGGCCAATAGGACCCGTACTTTTTCCTGACTACCAGGCCAATAACTGGCCAGATGTTGCTTAACCATCTGATTTCCTTGTCCCTTTGAATTTTGTCAAGATCTTGTCCAACATGGGAAAATTGAAATAGAGGTTCAGTTTGAATCTTGAACTAGAAACTAAAAACCGGCCAAAAGAATCTCCCATCGAGAAGAAATCCATTAATCTCAACGTAAAATCATTCTACAAATGGATCAATCCTATATGCTTAGTTAATTTCATCTAATATCAACCTGTGGTTAATTTGTGCTTTTGATGTAAAAGTAAAATGGGCCGAGAAAAGAATTGGGATTTCCTGCCAACAAAACGAGTTCCAACACCTTACCAACATGACTCACCTTGAAACTGGGACCCATCATAAAGGAGTCCGCTTTCTGTGCACCCATGGGTGCACTAGATGCGTGAATCCGTCAATCTTTTTCGACTACGTCATTCATCCAAATGTTAACGGTTAAATGCACGTTAACGTGGGTTCAGCAGTTCAATCGGGCACGAACCGGCTACAACATGACCTATGGGTGCATCAAAAGTCCCCCAAACCTCATATTGCGAGATTTCTCTCCTATAAGTTTTCCTCCTTCCACTGAACCCTCCCTCCATCGGCAGCGACAAGGATAGCTCCAGTGACAAGGAAGTTTTCATAATTATTCTTCATTTTTTTAATGGAAATTTTTCATCATTATTCACTGTCATGAAACCCACAATGAAAATCTCTCCCTCTATCTAAATTTTCATCATGATTCCTGCTATTGAGGAGCAGGCCAACCCTAGGTCGGCCATCCCTAGTTCTTCCACTCCTGTTAAAGATAGCTCCAACCTTCCTGCTAAAGAGAGCTCCAACCCACTTACCAAAGAAAGCCCTGGATCTCCTACCAAAGAAGGCTCTAGTCTTCCTGCCAAAGAAAGATCAGCTACTATACAGAGACCTCTTACCAAAGAAAGATCAATCAGAGCAAAAAGGAAACACTCCTCTTAGCAAGTTTCCTACTGAAGACCTTTCCTTATTTCTCTGTTTCTATTCTTGTAATTGTTTCTAGTTTATTCTTTATTATTGTGTATAAATAATCAGCCATGTACATCCATTCAACATAGTGGAATTCGACCCATTCTTTGAAATTCAATATTCTCTTAAACTTTAACTTGGTATCAGAGCCTATGGCCTACAATACATTAGTTGCTTCTAAAGCAATGAGCTCGAGCTCAACCTTCTCTCAAACTGCTTCTCTACCAATGAGCCTCAGTTCGATTCCCAACACCTCTCACTATCTTACCATCAAACTTAATGGAGATAATTTTCTTCTTTGGAAAGCTTAGTTGCTTCTAGTACTTCGAGCTCACAAACTCATGGGACTAGTTGATGGATCAGCCAAGCCTCCTCCAGCAGAAATGCCAGATCCAAATGACAACAGAAGGATGATTCTGAACCCAGACTTCACTACCTGGCTGCAGCTAGATCAATTGGTCCTTAGTTTGCTCGTTGCCTCTCTTACTGAAGGAGTTCTGGCGCAAGCTGTTGGTCTCTCCACTGCTACTGAAGTTTGGAGTGCTCTGGAAAGGTCGTTCTCTTCTCACTCTCTATCCAGGGTGCTACAACTAAGGCGTCAACTTCAAAATCTGAAGAAAGGGAATCTCTCCATCAGTGACTACATCCAAAAGGTCAAAACGATCACAAATAATCTTTCTGCAGTTTCGAAGCCAGTAGTAAAGGAAGATTTGGTTCTATACGTCTTATTTGGTTTGGGAAGTGAGTATGAATCTCTTATTACAGCTATCACAAATCGAGTTGATGCAGATCAAATCAATATTAGTGATGTCCTTGGTTTACTTTTGAGCCATGAATCCTGACTTTTGCAATGCAATTTTTCTAATGAAAATCCTAATGCGAATGTTGCCATGAACAATAAAAATACTACTAACAATTTTCAAACCCCTCAAAATTCCTACAATCAAAACAGGGGTGGAAACAATTGTGGTAGAGGCAGGAGCATGGAGGTCAATCCTTAGGCCATGGACAAGGCCGCGACAAAGGAAATAACATTATCTGTCTACTATGTAACAAACCAGGCCATGGTGTACTGAAGTGTTACAAACAGTTTGATTTGTCATATCAAGGAGAAAGAAGCTCGCATCCAACAGATCATACAACCTTTCACAGTGG